GCGGCGCGGGCGCGGCGACGTTGTAGCGAGACATCAACACCTTCTTGAGGGAGTTCAAGCACTTGCGCGACAATGAGTCGACGCGGTCGGAATTCCATTGCAGCGATGGCTTCGCACGGGCACCTGCCCCCGCGAGCTCGCCGCAGCGGGCGCGCGAAGGGGGCGCTGCGCGGCGGCGGGGGGAGGGATTTGCAGCGGCAGCGGGGGGGATTGTGGCTTGAGATGGCGAACGCGACCACGGTCCAGACTGATGGCGGCCAGCAGCAGCGGCAGGAACAGGAGCGACGACGGCGATGACAATGGGGCGCGTCGCCCCCATGCACGGTCGTCCGCGCCCATCCTTCATGACAAGCGATCAGGCCACGACCCGCCCCCGCCTCCTCGGCGGCTGTGGCCGCTCAGCTCGGCTGCAGCGCGCCGCGGGCGCAGCCGCTCACTTCCCCGCGCGGGTGCTCGCGGACTTCGCGCATCTGCCGCGGCCCACCGACAGGTTCGGGCCCGGTCGCTGGAGCGCACGTGCAAGGTCACCAAGAAGAGCGGCAACCACCTGTTCAACGCCGCCGCGCGCAGCAATGCGCGCAGTTGGAAGACGCCCGTCTGCAGGGGCGCCACCTGCGAACGCCCCTTCGCGATAGCTGGCGGCGGATGTGAGATGGGCATGTCGCTCGCGGCGCCGGTGAAGGCGCCGGCGGGCGCATGTTGGCGGGCTTGCGCGGCGCATCCGGCCCGGCGCTTGCGCGGCGCGTCCTGCCCGGCGCGGGCGGCATTGCGCAGCGCGGGCTTCCAGTCTAGCAGGCGCGCACGTCCGAACGAGCGCGCCCGCGCTTCCGTTGGAGAAGTGCTGATTTATGCTTGCGGCGCTTCGAGGTCCACGGGCGTGGCCCACCAGTTTTTAGGGGCGCCAATTTCACATTCTGAGGAACCACCCCTCTCGGCTTCCATCTCAAAGTGGGTCCAGCGGAGAGCTGGGAATGGCTCCGGCGTCTGGGAGACGCAGCGCATGGGCTCGCAGTATATGCGGCTGGAGGCGATCCTGCGGCGCGTTGCCTGCTGGTCGCATCGGTCCGCGAACTGATCTGCGGCAGCGCGCCCGCCCGGGCGCGACGCCGTCCACTCTTGAATCAGGGGAGCGCCGCAGCAGCTGCAGCAGCTGACATCGCTGGGCTGCAGCTCCAGCAACGGCTTCAACGTCCTCCTTTTCTTGCTCTTTTTCCTGCTGCTGCTTCTCGTCCTCATCCTGTTCCACCTCTCCCTCATCCTGCCTCATTTTCCCCCTCGTCCTGTCCCTTCTTCTCCTCACCTCGTCCTTCCTAGATCCTTCCCCTCTCATCACTTTCACCACCGTCGCTGCCACCACCACTGCCCTCATCGAACATCGTCATCTTCGTCTTCCCCCTCACATCATCAACAGCATCATTAGCACCAGTACCAAAAATGACCATCGTCATCGTTTCCAATTACCCTCATCAGCTTGTTCATCAGAATCACGCGGCCGCGGCCGCAGGCATCGTCATTATTCTCACCAGCATTCCCGCCGCCACCGTTCCCATCATCATTTTCATATCCATCATCATCTGCATCCGCATCATACTCCTCATCGAAACCAGACTCATCCCCCCCCCCCCGCCTCTTCATCATTATAAGTTGAACATACTTCACATGATTTGCAACAACTTTTTCCCCTGGCCGAGCCGGGCGAAATTCCGTGACCCCCTGCTGCTTGGTTGTCCGAATTGATATGCGTTGAATTGACTGAGCTCGAGGTGCTCTTTTGACAGCGCTTTTCAAACCGCCGGGGCGCAACTGTAAGAAAAAGGTCGCTGGTGGGTGATAGGCGCTGATCTGATGGAAAAACAGAGGGAGTGGGTTAAGGGGGTTAGTGGGGGTAGCACAGTCAATCACGCCATTTTTCAGATGGTTCCGTTTTCGTATGGTATCGTTAGTACGTCGCAAACCAGCGCCATTTGTCATATAATACGGTTCGATTAGAGCCGCACTTTCGGTTAGGTTAGCACCGCACTTTCGGTCAGGTTAGCGCCAACTCCCTTTGGAGCTTCAGGTTCGCGCCGCACTTTCGTCAGCCGCTTGTCTGTTAGCGACGTTCTCAGATATTTTCCGTACATGTCAGTAAATCGCTTAGTATCAGCACTCTGCATTTGTCATGCAATATGTTGCAGCCCTTCCCCGTTTTTTGGTGCAGTGGGTTGTAGGGGGGCGGTGGGAGGGGAGTGCGGCTTCGGCGGGAGGGGCCTACGACGCGGCGGTGGTCGCGGCGGAGGGGCCCTAGGACGGCCTAGGAGGGCCGCCGCGGCCGCCGCCGCGCTCTCGGGAGGGCTCGGAGGGTTCCCGAAACTTTCGCAATGCCTCGGGGTGCCTCTGAAACTTTCGGAGGGCCTTGGCATTCTTCGGAAGGCATTGAAAACCTTTCGGAAGGCCTCGGGGGGCTTCGGAAACCTTCGAAAGGCATCGGAAAGCCTTGGAGGACCTCGGAAACTTTCGGAGGGCTTCGGAAATCTTCAGAACGAGCTCGGAAGGCCGCGCTCGACTGCCGACGCGACCGCGCGCTCTCTCGGCGCGCGGCGCGGCGGCGAGCGCTGAAGGGGGGGGTGCCGGAAGGTGACTAGCCAGGGGTAGGGGGCCAGGGGTGGCCGGGGGCCGCCCGCCTCAGCCGAAGACTGGAGACTGAGGGGTAGCCGGGGGGTTGCCGGGGGTGGCCGGGGCTAGCTGGGGGTAGCCGGGGGGGGCGGAGGGGGGCGGGGGGGCGCGCGGAGAGCCGCGATCACGCGTTCGCGCGCCGGCTGAGGCGCCGAGCGCGCGCTCGCGCCGTTCGCGGCCCCCGTGGGCCCCAGACGGCGCGCAAACGCGCGATCGCGCCTCGCCCGGGCTTCCCCCGCCTCGCTCCGCGTGCTTGGGGCGATTCGCGAGGGTCCGAGGGCTCCTCCTCCTCCACCTCCAGTTCCTCCTCCTCCCGCCTCCTCCTCCTCCTCCTCCTCCTCCTCCTCCTCCTCCTCCTCCTGTTCCTCCTCCTCTCTCCTGTCTCCTCCTCTCCTCCCCCTCCCCCTCCTCTCCTCCTTGTGTCAGTGGCCTCCGCCGGGCGGACGGAGGGCGATGAACAGGTCCAAGTTGCGGCCCGCCCGCAACTTGGGCCCCTTGGGCCCAAGTTGCAACCCCGATTGTGGAAAATGGGGTCGTTCTGAGTTGGCCTCAATGTCGGTCGAATGCATCTCGCGGCGCCTTCTCGCTCAGATATTCGTGGCATCTGGATATCGGGGCATTGGGTGTCCCAGTGTCTCAGGTGTTGTTCGGATGCAGTTTTTCTGTGTGGCACAAAATCATGACGGACTTCATGCGCGATCGCCGTCTGCGGCTGTTTTCGCTCATAATTTGGTTCGCCATCTGCGGGCTGTCGCTCGCGTTTCGTGCGCGGGCGAGATTTGATTTTCTCGCCGTTTTCGACATGTGCGGTCGTATGCTTGCTACGTCGTGGTCAATCGTTTTGGTGGGCGTTCGGAAGCAAAAAACGAGCGCGTTGTTTTTCTTTTTCGTGGCGGCAAACCGAACCCCGCTGATTCCTGACATCGAAAAACGCTGGGTGCGCCTACCACCCCCCAGCGACCTGCTTCTTACAAACGCAACCGCAACCGCAACCAGGCGACACGTTGTAACCCGCCCGCAGGCGCAAGCGCAACCGCGACCAGCCGGAACATTTCAATACGCCCGCGGGCGCAACCGCAAGCGCAACCGGGCGAAACATGTCAACCCGCCCGCGGGCGCAACCTCAACCGCAAGCACAACCAGCCGACTCAATCCAACCCGCCCGCGGGCGCAACCTCAACCGCAACCAGGCGACGCAGTTCAACCCGCCCGCGGGCGCAACCGCAACCGCACGCGCAACCAGCCGACCGATTTAAACCTGCCCGCGGGCGCAACGGCAAGCGCAACCACGCGACACATTTCAACCCGCCCGCGGGCGCAATCGCATCCGCAGCCGCAACCGCAACCTGGCGACATATTTCAACCCGCCGTGCGGGCGCAACCGCATTCACAACCTGGCGACGCAGTTCAACCCGCCCGCGGGCGCAACCGCGACCGCAACCAGGCGACACAGTTCAACCAGCCCACGAGCGCAACCGCAGGCGCAACCACAAACCACAACCATGCGACATATTTCAACCCGCCGCGCGGGCGTAGCCGCCCGGGGAGCAGGAGGTGCAGGAGCACGAGGAAGAGGAGGAGGGGGAGGAGGAGGAGGAGGAGGAGGAGGAGGAGCAGGAGCAGGAGCAGGAGGAGGAAGAGGAGGAGGGAGAGAGAAAGGAGGAAGAGGGAAAGCAGACATATGAGGATGGGCAGGACGGCCAGAAGGACGAGGAGGAGGAGGACGACGACGATGACGAGAAGGAGGGGGATGCAGGGTCGGTCATGTTTCAAGGGGGTGCAGGAGCAGGTGCTGGTGGAGGAGGAAGCCCATTGGCACGATTAGGAAGATTGAGTGTTTGGAAAGCGAGAAGGAGGAGGACGAGGTCGATGAGGAGGACGAAGGGGAGAAGGAGGAGGAGGAGGAGGAGGAGGGGGAGGAGGAAGAGAGGAGGAGAAGAGGAGGAGAAGAGGAGAAGAGGAGGAGGAAGAGGATGAGGGGGAAGGGGAGGAGGAGGAGGAGGAGGAGTAGGAGGAGGAGGAGGAGGAGGAGGAGGACGCGTTCCCCGCGGTTTTCCGACAGGGCATTGCAGCGGGGAATCCCCATTCCACGTTGCTGCCTTCGGTTCGAAACTAAGCTAAAGCTCTAACATGATTTACCAACTCTACCATGTTAAGGCCGCAGCGCAAACAAACTAGATTTCCGTAGCACTTGCTAGTTTATCTCATGTGCTAACTCTATGGGGCAAACCTCCTAGTCAGCTAAGCGTCCAAATGTCTAAGCAGAGGTAGAGTACAGTGGAAACACATCCGTCGTTGTTGTTCCATGACTCGAAGAGGATCGTGTTTAGCTCGAACCGTGGCAGGTCACCTGCCCGGAGAACCTGGGGCCAGGCGCCCCGCTCGTCGTACAGGCCCCCGACGGGCGGCAGTTGCAGGTGACCGTGCCAGCCGGCGTGGGCCCGGGCATGCATTTCCAGGTGCAGGTGTAAGCATGGGGCGTGCCAGTCTGCAGGGCCTCCCTCCCTCCCTCCTAGACCTCCCAGACCTCCTCGGGTCACGAACGAAAATCACGACGCGAGGTTTTCCTCCATTTTCGGGTTCCGGGGGCCCTTGCCAGGCTTCGGGATTGTCAGATAAAAGCTGGTCACTGGAATGGGTCGAGATTTTGGCGGTTCGACGTTATGGAGAATCATGACGTCGGGGGTCAGGGCTATCCCCCCCGTCTGTCTCTTCTCCCTCCCGCCTGTCGTTACTCGAGAGCGTCTTTTATTCCCTTTATTTCCTTGGCAATTACAGGCGTGACCGCGGCGGGGGTGGAGGGGGGGAGGAGGCCAGTCACGTCACGATTCACGCCAGCGCCATGTGGAAATTCTTCATGCTGCGCAATGGCAAACTCCCACACGGCGCCGGCGCGAATCGTGACGTGACCAGGGAGGGGGGGGGGGGGGGGGGGGGGCGCGGGTCAAGGGCGTGACCGCGAATAAGAAAGACTCCCTCCCTCTTGTCCTCCCCCTGACAGCCGCCGTTGCGAGTGCTGTCCCATGCGCGGCCCCCGAGGAATGTCCAGACACCCATCTGCAGGAGGGCACTTTTTTTTCCGCCCGGGATGGCATGCTGACGGCCCTGGGGCCTGGCAGCGGGCGGTGGAGGCCCAGGTCTTGGTAAAAACGCCGCTCGGAAGAAGTGTGTCGTCGTCGTCGTCGTCGTCGTCGTCGTCGTCGGAGGAGGAGGAGGAGGAGGAGGAGGAGGAGGAGGAGGAGGAGGAGGAGGAGGAGGAGGAGGAGGAGATGGAGCGAGGAGGGAGGGAGGAGGAGAAGGAGGCGGAGAAGTATGAACAGGAGGAGGAGGAACAGGAGCTGGAGGAGAAGGAGGAGGAGAAGGAGGAGACCAGGCCGGCGGTGGCCACCGAGGGGTGCCCCCGCGGCCGGACACAGCAGCTTTTCCCAGGCCTCTCTGCGTCGGGGGGGCGCCACGCCGCGCGGCCTCTGCGAGGGCGTGGCCCCGGCGCTCCTTTGGGCGGCGCGCACGAGGTGGTCTACATTTAAGCCGCGTAGTCAGGATGAGCAACTTTCCAAGGGTACCCATGCATCCCTCCCTGTCGGCCATCCTTGGCCGCTTTTGCTGGCAACGCTCTTTCGCAAAGTGTCGGCATGGCCTTCCAAGGCCCTTGCATCCAGATCCTGCGCCCTTTTTGTACGGGTTGGCTGTAGGGGGAGGGCGGAAGGCTGCTTAGAAAGAGGTTGCTTCTTAGAAACGCGCCCACCCTAATTACATCTACAGACAAGGACCGCGCCTTCGAAGAAGCAGGGGTGCTTCCAAGAAGCCTTCCCCTTTCCCCCCTACCCCCCCCCCGGTGCACGCCGCCAGTCCTCGTTGCCACGATGCCGCGTGTCTCTGGCGGCTCGCTTGCTGAAGCGGGACGCCGTACGGTCAGTGGCTCCGCGTGTCGCGCCGCAGGTTTTCCGTCCGACAGGCCAGCTCGTTGCCTCGGGGCACGGTGGCGGATGACGGGCAGCTCCACTGCGGTGGCTGTTTTTTGTCGGTTGCAGTGATGTTGACGCGCCAGTGTTCCAGTAAAGGCCGATGAGCTGCGAACAAGAACTAAGCATCAACCTCCCGAGCGGTTTCCAGCCTCCCGCCCCGCAGAGCGGAGCGACACGCTATCCGCTCGCAGGGAATATCGTGTCGACATCGGCCGCCGCGGCGACACGCTAAGAAAAATTAGCCTGGCGAAGGACCCAACCATATGCAGCTGCGAGTACCGCACGGATATGAGACGAAGGAGGGGGGCACGCAAACTAGGCCCCTCTTCTCATAGGCACCGCGCCACTGGGGCCTTCGGTGGAGCTCCCTATGGGGCCACGAAACATGTGAAGGGTGTGCCGAAATGGGTGGTGGGGAGGCATGCGGACCCTGCCACTGGGGCCTTCGGTGGAGCTCCTTATGGGGCCACGAAACGTGTGAGGGGTGTGCCGAAATGGGTGGTGGGGAGGCATGCGGACCCTGCCACTGGGGCCTTCGGTGGAGCTCCCCCACGAAGCGTGTGAGGGGTGTGCCGAAATGGGTGGTGGGGAGGCATGCGAACGCCACTGGGGCCTTCGGTGGAGCTCCCTATGGGGCCACGAAACGTGTGAGGGGTGTGCCGAAATGGGTGGTGGGGAGGCATGCGTGCCACTGGGGCCTTCGGTGGAGCTCCCTATGGGGCCACGAAACGTGTGAGGGGTGTGCCGAAATGGGTGGTGGGGAGGCATGCGAACCCTGCCACTGGGGCCTTCGGTGGAGCTCCCTATGGGGCCACGAAACGTGTGAGGGGTGTGCCGAAATGGGTGGTGGGGAGGCATGCGACCCTGCCACTGGGGCCTTCGGTGGAGCTCCCTATGGGGCCACGAAACGTGTGAGGGGTGTGCCGAAATGGGTGGTGGGGAGGCATGCGAACCAGCCACTGGGGCCTTCGGTGGAGCTCCCTATGGGGCCACGAAACGTGTGAGGGGTGTGCCGAAATGGGTGGTGGGGAGGCATGCGAACCCTGCCACTGGGGCCTTCGGTGGAGCTCCCTATGGGGCCACGAAACGTGTGAGGGGTGTGCCGAAATGGGTGGTGGGGAGCATGCGAACCCACTGGGGCCTTCGGTGGAGCTCCCTATGGGGCCACGAAACGTGTGAGGGGTGTGCCGAAATGGGTGGTGGGGAGGCATGCGAACCAGCCACTGGGGCCTTCGGTGGAGCTCCCTATGGGGCCACGAAACGTGTGAGGGGTGTGCCGAAATGGGTGGTGGGGAGGCATGCGAAGCCACTGGGGCCTTCGGTGGAGCTCCCTATGGGGCCACGAAACGTGTGAGGGGTGTGCCGAAATGGGTGGTGGGGAGGCATGCGAACCCTGCCACTGGGGCCTTCGGTGGAGCTCCCTATGGGGCCACGAAACGTGTGAGGGGTGTGCCGAAATGGGTGGTGGGGAGGCATGCGAACCCTGGAGGGAGGAGGGCGAGGAGGAGGAGGAGGAACGCGGGGACCGTCTCTTCAAAACGAGGACCCAACACCACAGGATGGTTGGGAAAAATATGGACGTTTGCCAGGCCAGATTGCGAATCCTCGGTCTTGTCGTTCTGTGAAGTTCATCGGGCATCTAGACAAGCCGCATCAACATTGCGATCGGGCGATGAGGATAGACTCGTTGTGATATCATGAGCTTCATCGACGTCGCCATTTTCATCATCGGCTCCATCTGGCCAATTCCGGATTTCATGAGCCCCACGTGTTGACGTCTCATTTCTTGGGGCAATCTTCCACCGGCGGACCCGCCGCCGTTTTACTTCGCTGGCCCTCCGCTGGCCTTCCCCAAGCTTCCGCCGAGGGCGAGACGCTCCAAAGGCGATGCCACTTTTGGAGCGCCCTGTGACAATGGTGGGGCTTGAATCTCCGATCCTTCTCATCCTTCTTACCAATCTTCGATCCTCGATCCGCCGCCTCCCCCTCCTCCTCCTCCTCCTGGAATGCTGACGCTCCCTGTTCTCCTCGATCCTCCTCCTCCTCCTCCTCCTCCTCCTCCTCCTCCTCCTCCTCCTCCTCCTCACTCACCTGCTCCCACGAGGCCCAGACAGCTGTCACACGCTGCGTGGCCCCACAGGGAGCTCCACCGAAGGCCCCAGTGGCAATGTTCGCATGGTGGCCTCCTTTGGAGCCCCATCGAACTGGTACCCATAATGCAGTACTTACAGATGTCTATCGTTGGGTTCTTCACCAGGACATGCGCTTTTGTTTTCTCCTGCTTTGTTGTTGTCGGAGGTGAAGGGGTGAGATCGCAGTGGAACGGAGAGTCCGCCACGGGGAAATCGGTTTCGGTTTGGTGTTCGTGTCGTGCGTGCGGGCGAGGCGAAGCTGCGTGGGCGCGCTAGAGGAATGATGCCGCCGTCGCTAGGGGCTGTGGAGCCGGTTGTCCGCCGTCGCTCGTTCGTTCGTTTACGCATTCGTTCCTTCGTTCCTTCCTTCGTTCGTTCGTTCCCCTCCTCCCCCTCCTCCTCCTTCTCCTCCTCTTCCTCATTCTCCTCCTCCTCCTCCTCCTCCTCCTCCTCCTCCTTCTCTTCCTCCTCGACCCACGTCGGTCCTCGGTCCTCCCCCCCCCATACCACGATCGCGGGGCTGCCGTCAGCGCCAAGATTGTGCTGGGCTGGCTGGACCACGGCGCCATCGCAGCAGGGCCGCCAGCTTCAGTCCAGCCGCATTGCCTCTCTTTGCAGCTTGACCGCCAGTCAGCGTCACCCGGTAGCGCCCCTTCCAGGCCGCGAGCATGGCGGCTTTGGCCCTCTCCACTGGGTCGGGAAGGGGTACGGCCCAGTGCATCTCGTGTGCGGCGGCCCAGAGCTCGCGCGCTGCATCGTAGTCGGCCGATCTGTCGAAGGCGCCCAGTGGGTCGTCGGTGAGCTTGGCAGCTTGCTCATCCAGGCCTCACAGGTGGGGTCCGAGTAGATGGGTTCGGGATGGGTTCGGGGGATCGCGCTGTATCGGACCCCGATGTCCTCGACGCCGATGACGCAGATGCATCGACGACGTCGCCAATGCATCATCGATGCATCACAGATGCACTGGCGATGCAGCGCGATCCTCCGACTCCATCTTCTCCGACCCTATCTAGAAAGCCTGTAGCTCAACCATTCGAGCCGATGGCGTCGTGCAGGTACTGGATGCTGCGGGCCGCCGGGGCCGCCCTGGCGTTTAGCGGGTTTGCAGTTTGCAGGTCTGCGGCCTGGCACTTGGGGCTTGCTGTGAGCAGGCGGCTTTTCCAGGTAGATCAGGATGCCGTCGCGCGCGCCAGGGTGGCTCGGACTCGTCGGATGGGCGCGCGTCCCAGATTTCGGTCAGGCAGTCTGCGCAGCACCACTTGCCGTTCCAGGCCATGGTCTGGAGGGCGATTGCCTACTCCTAGCAGCACGGCAGGCCGCACACCTGGGCGTGGTCCAGGTCGTCCTCCCAGGCCGGTCTGAAAGCGAGCACGC